GGTTGTGTCCTTTAGATTGAGTTCTAAATTAAAGAAATTATTTATGTGCAGAGACTATTTCTTCAAAACAGTAAAACAATTGTTTTCCAAATATGTTTAGTGGTAGACCAAACGCCCACACAACACCATAGAGAAAAACACTAGAGCTCTTAGTTATAATATCCGAAATTTTTATTTGTGCCTATAGACTAATATTAAACTACATTTCTGTATTTACTAGAGATGGGTAACTGAATTCAAATATATGATTGAATTTACTGAAATGTGTTGAATAAGAAAATTTTATTACTGCAGATATGAAACAGAATTCTTACGCGTTTTTGCAAATAAAGAACTATTATAAATTCACGAGTTCTTGTTGTACGCGTTTCTACAAATATGAAACTATTATAAAATCACAAGTTCAGATCAAAGAAATTATAATTTCAAAACATGCAAGTTTTATAGAGATTATACCTGGGTCAGGAGTGAGAGGTAGGGTTTTAAATGGTTATAATATGTCAATCTAAAATTCAGAACTAACCAGTCTATCTTGTGAGATTTTAAGTGCAGTGTTCCAGTGCATTTAAATGGAAATTATAATCTTTAGGTAACAAGACAAAGCAATAATTTTAAATCCACAATGAAACATAATATAATATTGTTAAATTTTTGTTTAATATTTTTATAGCTAGTGTTGCAACACGGTGATGTAGTGTGTGGTACAAGGTTAGTCACTAATATCACCTCCTATACAGATATATATATATATATATATATATATATATATATATATATATATATATATAACACATGAAAAACAGAGTGAACAAACACACACACACACACAAAAAAAAAAAAAAAAAAAACACTATAGCTAGGTGGCCTTTACGAACTTTAAATCTATTTGAAGTGGGTGATTCAAACAGATTATCCAGATTCAAAGATAGATTTTTTTCACTGCAATCTCAAGGACAAGTCCAATGGATGATGCTCCTCCTGTGTGTGGATTGCAGAGTAGCAGCTAACCTCGTTGCAATCACTCCAAATTTCTCTGGACGAGTGCAATGGAAAAAGTTGGAGAGTTACTTTTTCAGGAACTTGATTTGCTGAAAACAAAGAAAATGAACATAATAAAATTAATGCTGTCACGTAATATTTAATTTAGTTTCTACAAGACAAACTCTGTTTGGCTGCAAAGAAAATGATGATGAAAATTTTCAACTGCATAAATTGTTTTGCATACACGCTTGTGGATGAGATCTTACCATCCAAGTGAAGTTGGTTTTGTCCGGAACCTGAATCTCTTTGACGTTTTCTCTCTTTAGCTGCACGATTCTGAAACCCGTAAAATACGTTGTTGTATTGGATGCTTCCGTACAATCTCAGATGGAACGTTATATCCCAAATCTGGCCTTCGTACGGATTATGAAGTCCTGACTCGAACAAATGTGTCAGAATTTCTAGCTGTGGACAGGAGGGAGTCCACCGCTTGGGGTGCGTTCCTCCACCGCCACCGCCACCGCCACCTATCATAGGAAAGCCTGACATAATTCTCCTATCCATTTCTTTGATCCTATCCTTCTGAAACTATGATGTTTAGTTATGAGCTTCTGAACAAAAGATGATAGTTCGATACACATATATATAATAATACTTCAATGTAAATTATAAAATGAATATTTTTGGTACATTAAACCATGTAAATCATATGATGTAAGCGGATCAGAATGGTTGCGTTGTTTTGTTTAAATGAGAGCTGCTTTGTTTTTGGGAATGTCAGATAATACTGACAGATTTTTCAGTGCATAAAGAAGGATAAACATCATCTCTTTCAACCTTTCAATCCTCAAACAGACAGCAGCTTAGTTCCAATTTTTATTTAATAAAAAAATTAATTAAATATCATAGACTCTATTAAATTCCTACCAAGTTGAGTTTGAGATATGGTAAGAGAGAGAGTTTGAGTAAAAGGCAGAATCTGGGTGGGTCGGGGCGGCATTGCCACACACCCCCCACCCACGAGAGTTTGTGCAGGGGACCAAAACGAGAGGTTGCAATAAATATAATTTGTCGTTATAAAATTTATTGATTTTTTAATTTTATTATTATTAAAGGTTAAACAAATGGTCTTTGGGGATAAATATGCGTGTGTGTGTGTGGGTGATGAATGATGATATATACAAAGTCCATGCTATGATTGGGTTGGACTGGACAGGCTCAAAACACCTTAAACAACTGTTTGGTCCAAAAGACAAAACCCGTTTTTTTTGGTTCAAAGAAAATAAGCCCGTTTTTTTTTTTTTTTTTTTTTTTTTTTTTTTTTCAGAATACTTATATATTGGGCTGAAAATAGAAAATTTGAAAATAAATTTAACTCGTGTCGTATGAAATTTATAGAAAACTTTAAGGTGGATTAATTAAACCTATTCTTGAAAATCCGAATCTTGTAAAACATAAATTTTTCATTGGTATTGTAGTTCTTTCCGCAGCTCTTTCTTTCTTCATTTACATATAAACATATATAAAATCGATTATATTAATTCAAGAAAGAAAAATACATTGTCCCATCAAGTTTAATAAAAATGCATAAACTTTTTTTTTTTTGTGACACATTTTAGTCTTAAGATATTTGTGATAAAGATATGTAAAACTATAAATACACTACCTCCGTCCCAAAAAAAGTGTCCTTAATGGGGAACCGTGTCAGTTCAATTTGTGAGAGTCACAGGAGAAACTGAGGAGTTGTGAGACCAAAATGGTATATACGTGGTATATGCTAATACTTTTAATTGTCACTTGAATCCACCGGATTGAGATGTTGGACCAATGCCCAACAGTCAGATTTTGCAAAATTTGCTTTGGGCTTGGGCTTCTTGCGCAATGTTTTGTATTAGCTGAAAGTCCATGAACTTTTTGGGGCTTATCCCATTTATTAGTTCAAATTATCAAAGTGTGGAAATTGTAGGGCTTGTCCTAGATTGGGCTTGGGCTTCTTGCCCAATGTTTTGTATTGTTGGAAAGTCCATCGTTTTGGGCGTACTCCCATTTATGGGTTTGTGAGCTTACTACCTTAGATACTCAAGTCACGTAAATCGAGAAGCAGCAAAATTTTCATTTATGGGTTTGTACAGGTTACTTACGAATATACAGCAGGTCCATGATCAATTTTTGAAAAAAATTCCTGAGCTTAGCATGAACTTTTTGGGGTTACTCCCATTTATGGTTTCCTGTTTTACCTATACAATTAAATTTACCTTTCAAAAAATAAATTGTATAACTACTTCTTGTATAACTTACTAAAGTAATAATCTTGTTTTGTTAACACTTTACAAATTTCTTTTTCTTAATCTTTCATCAATATAATAATAATATATATTTTCCAAAGTGAAATCAAAATATTCAAAATGTTTTCCAAAAAATAAATTTTTTGAAAAATTGAAAAACAATTAAGAAAAACTAATTCTATACCCAAAAATGATATTTACGCCGATGGATTTGTCCCTTTTTTTTTTCTTTTTTTTTTTCTTATCTTATTCTCTATATTTTTCTTTCTAAAATTAATAACAATAGCACCTTTTTATTAGTGATCTATCATCTACGCAACCAAAAGTATTGATCATGACATCGATTTAAAATGGCTTAATCTTGGGTGGGCTTTTTTTGCAATCAAGCTGGGCTAGGCCTTCTAGCTTTTGTTTAGAATTCTAATTGGGTCCTTAACTGTGGTCCAGTTAAATTCCAATTTTTGGGCTAAGAAGATCATTTCTGTATTATATACCGATATAATTTTGTACAGACTTACATTTATATCTATATCTATACAATTGCTTAATTTCTGATTAAAATAAGAAGATGAAGTATTTGTGAGATATAATTCCTTCTTGCTCCACCCGGGGACTTTTTTTTTTTAATTTTTTTTTTATACGTTTCTTTTCTTTTCTTTTCTTTTCTTTTCAATATTAGGATAAAAAGAAAAGAAAAGAAAGAAGAGAAAAGTCCTTTTGCTTCAACATCATATATACCAAATAGAGAAAACGGAGCTTCTATAAAAGATTCAGTTTGTAGTCGTCGAAATTTTGAAATAGAAATCATGTCAAGATTTGTTCAACTTATGATATTTTACGCAACAGAGAATTTTATTTCGAGAGGAGAATCATTGTAAAATAATATATTAATCAAAGAATATTATAAGAAAGAAAATATGTGACAAATATAAGAATAAAAATATTAATTATACGCATTGAGTATATGTGTCTTTATATTTTGAAAGTGATACATAAAATTATACGCATTGAGTATATAAAATTACAATAATAAATTTAAATAAGAAGGAAAAAATAAAGTTACCTGTATTATACAAGAGTTCAAAAAGAAGAATTTTAAGAAGTGAAAAAAAAAAAAAGAAAAAAAAAATAGAAAGAAAGAAAAATGAAAGAAATAAGATTTGATTGAAGAAAGTGAATGCAATTTTTTTTAAAAAAAAGGAAAGTAGAGGAATTTGATGGGTAAACAAGGAAAAAAAAAAAGAAAAAAAAAGTAAAAGATAATTTTAATAATTGAGAATTTTAGAGGGGGCATACTATAAAATATATATATATATATATATATATATATATATATATATATATATATATATATATGAAAAAATAATTATTAAATGGTTGGGATCATATGGTCCCCGCGAACTTGACATGCATTAGAATTACCGAAAAAAATAAAAAACCTTGACATGCATTACAAATAGAAAAAGTGAATAAAGGACATTTAATTGGATGGCAAGGTGACTATGTAATAATTATTCATATGACACGTGAAACAATAGAAAAAACAGTGCTTCTGTGAGCATGCAAAGGAGATCAATGTCTATGCATTTTAAAAATTTCAACTCACTGATTCTGCTTACACTAACTTCTAAAGTTTTCAGCTATTTTTGAACGATCTTCTCTCTCTTTCCAAGCTAAACCTAAGCTCCTTCGGAATCATCACCCTGATTCAAACAGATTCGATCTTCACATATTTTACAGGAAGCTTAAACATAAATCTAATGGCGGATGCTCCTTCTCGGTTTCAATTGTGTACGAGAATGACATTTTCTGCTTCTCTGATTCCAATTCATGGAATGTGTTCAACGGAAATAGTTGCAAAGTCTCCATTACCTTTTCAGGCTCTAGAAGTACCTGATTTATCTCTGCAAACTTTGCTGAAAAACAAAGAAAATGAACATTAATTGTTGACTTACGACTGTTTGGCAGCTAAGAAAATGCTCAAGAAAACATTCAACTGAGGTCTGCATAAAATTGTTGTGACTTACGCTTAGTGGATGACCGGATCTCATTTTGTTCGGCAACTGATGAAACTCTGCGACGTTTCTGTCTCTCTCTAGCTTTATGATTCTGAAACCAGTAAAATACATTCTTACTCTCGATTTTCCCGTAAAAGCTCAGCTGGGAAGATATCTTTTGGATCTGATCAGTACTCGGAGTTCGTAGTCCTGACCGAAACAGATCGGTCAGAACTTTAACCTGTTCACTGGTCGGATTCCACCTCCCACACTTCATTCCTCCGCCACCACCACCACCACTACCGCCTCGTGGTTTCATACAAAATCCTAACATAATTCTCTCATCCATATCTAAATTTCTTTGATCCTTCTGAAACTGTGATGTTTGGTTCTGAGCTTCTGAATTCAAAGATGCGAGTTCTAGTATACATATTTTATAGTGCAATGAAATGATTATTTTTGGTTTATTTAATCCTAGATGTAAGTGAAGGCAGAATCGTTGTTTTGTTTATGTGACTCTGCTTTGATTTTAGGGAATGTCTGTTACAACTTTGAGGATTTGATCGCGTTGTTTTTGTCTGGTTTTTAGTGTAGAAAGAAAGAGAGATAAACATAAACAAAAAACTGCTACTGTTCAACGTTTTGATCCGCGAGCAGACAAATAAGTAAGTTCTCAAATTTTGTATAAATAATTAAATATCATTTACTCTATTAAATTTCTATTAATTTGAGTTTTAGATATGCATGGTGAAATAGAAAGGATTTGAGCTTATCATCAACAATTCACACATAGTGAAAATTTTAACTCGAGTTGTGCTGAAAATTTTACAATACTAATGTACTCTCGAATCTCTCAGGTGATGGAACCAGATAGTTGATATATTTAAAGACGAATAGAACCTATACTCTTCAAATATAATAAAACTTTTAATGATGTGCAAACTTACAACTATCGTGATTCATCGAATATCTAAACACAATTCTTAAATCTTGTAAATTGAAAAAATTAGGTTAGGCTTGTGCTGCACTTTACATTTTTGACATAAAAGTGGAGAAGAGAAGACTAGATTCATGTAAAATGGATACAAAATGATGTGCATATGATAGAGATGGGGTGGAGATAGGTTTTGAAAATTGCAGGACATTTCTGTCATTTCACTATGAGTGGAAATCACACGAATAATTTTTTTGAAACAAACAAGGTCACCCTGTTGTTTTTTTAGTGATTACTAGGAAACTAGTCTAATGAGTCCAAACCCACCAAGACATAAAAGTGATCCAAGTATTTGTTATAAACTAAGTAGATGTTTGTTAAAGGTTACATGAAATATGAATGCGCTTGCTGGCAAAGAAGTTTTTGAAAGTCAAAGTTCACACTGTCTGATCTTAGTTGGACGGTTGTGATCAAATATTATTGACATGGATACTGGGTTAAGTTGACCATAACTAGAGTACATTGGGAATAAAATAATGGGTTAGTCCAGAGACAAAAACTAGAGGACAATTAAGTCACCAAATTCAAATTTCAGAGAGAGAACTCAAGAGTCAAGACCAAATTGGAAGGGGACCAATTTGTCTTTTCTGATGTCCTGTGCCTCAAGTGTTAGGCAAGTAACGTTCTTAAACAAATTTATTTGGCTCGTTCATCTTCTCTTTGGATCTAGGTTGCATAAAATTAAGATAAACATTTTGGTTATAGGTGATTGTGCAAGAAATATAAAAAAGAAGTCATGACTTTTTGTATTTTAGGACTTGTCCTTCTATGGAGGCACTTAATTAATAGGCCTGATTAATTATAAACTCTCAAATAGGTGAAAGTTTTAGACCTTGCAAATTACACTAATGCAATTTGAAATTTAAAATACCTAAACTTAATTCCTACAAATTACAACTTCAAGGTATGTTACTTCTAAGGCCATCTGGTATGGTATATGCTAGTTAACAAAAGTGAGTTTTTACTTAGTAAAAGCTTGTGGCGTGGGATGGCTAGATATTAGACCCCCACACATTTTTTTTTTTTTTTAAAGGCTAGCCACATGCACTTGTGGCCAGCCTTTGCAAATCCCATTAACTCTTTTCTTTCAATATAATTTTTCCTCACTCCCTTATTTTCTTTCTTGGGCGAGTCTCACCAATTATTTATTCATTTGTGGTCAATCTTATACTGTAGAGTTGAATTGGTTACACACTGATACTAATCACGTCAACTCACCAATAGGCCAGTGGCCTAACAGTATTGGCCTCTTATTTCTCAAAGGGAGGTCGGAGGTTCAAATCTTAAAAAAGACATACGTGTGTGAATACCAACTAAAAAAAAAAATCATGTCAACCCAATTATTGATATGACTAGGTAAAAATTGTGCATGGCTAATTGGTATAGACATAGTTACGTACATAGCCAATCAATATAACAATGGCTATATTGCCACGCTGTGCAAGTAAAAAGTTGCTATATTTAACTATTGCATTTGGACTGTATTAGACCCACAGAAAGAGAAAATAAGGAGAGGGAAAAAATGAAAAAGAAAAAGTGGGGGCCACAATTTTGTTTAACAATAGAAATGGTATTCATCTCCAATTTTGTATTAACCATTAAAAATGCATATAATTGATTTGGTTTAAGAGGTCCCTCTCACTAAAAGAGTATATATATTTAATTTAGATGTATTAAATAATTAATTTGACTTTTCACATATTTCAAAAAATTAATTCATTCAATAATTAAATAAGAAGAATTCATGCTTTTTTGAGACCTCCGGAGAGTATTACTCGTGATCGATTCACTTGATAGGATCTGACCCCACTAAAACAAGGACCTCCAGAATGGTTTCCGCGTAGAGTTGGTGATTGGGAAAGGGTGTTGCGTGATTATGTTGTAGAAAAACGCAAACCACATCTTTTGGACTCGTAAATATTTTCTTTCCAATACAATTTTCTCTCTTCCTCTTACTCTCTTTCTTTGGTGAGTCCCATCAATTATATATTCATTTGTAGTTAGTCTCGTGGAGTTGAACTAACCAAATACTGTTACTAGTCACGTCAACTCAATTGTTGACATGACTAAACAAAAGTTATGCTTAGTATAATACACTGTTGTTAGTCACGTCAACTCAATTGATGACATGACTAGACAAAAATTGTGCATAACTAGCTGATATCACACGCTGTTACTAGTCATGTTAACTCAATTGATGATATGACTAGGGAAAAATTGTGCATAGTTAATTGGTATAGACATAGTTATGTACATAGCCAATCAGTGTAACAATGGCTATATTGGCTAGCTCTGCACGTAAAAAGTTGCTATATTTAACTATTGCATTTGGCTGTATTAGACCCACATAAAGATAAAATAGGGAGAGAAAAAAAGAAAAAAGAAAAAGTGGGGGCCACCATTTTTTTTTAACAATAGATATGGTATTCGTCTCCAATTTTGCATTAAGGGTTTTAATCCATAAGTAATGTTTTAAGAGATATATATATTCTTTTACTTAATTAGATGCATTAAATAATTAATTTAATTTTTCACATATCTTAAAAAGTAATTAAATATGAAGAATTCATACTTTTTAAAAATTTGTCGAGAGCATTACTCGTATTCGATTCACTTGAGAAGATTTAACCCCCACTAAAACAAGGATCTCTAGAATGGTTTCCACAGAGTTGGTGATTGCGAAAGGGTGTCGCATGATTCTGTTGTAGAAAAATGAAAACCGTATCTTTTGGAGCCACAAAACTCAACATAGTACATCTTGAAAAGTTGAAAGTGAAGCAACACCAACTAGTGTCTTTAAAAAACTGCTAAGCAATGAAAACTAGCTATGCTCAAAACAACTCCATGGACGTGAATGAAGCACTTTACTTGAACAGAGGAGAAGGAGAAAGTAGATATGCTCAAAACTCCAAATTCACAGTATCTTTTTCCAACCACTACACTTATTTATTTATTTATTTTTTTGTTCGTTCAATTTTCCATTCAAAAGTGAAGCTTTAGCCCAATTAACATAACCAAAATTGCTCTGTACAGCAAAAAGTGGCTTCCATAACCAAACCAATATTAGAAAATTCAGTTCAATCTCTGTTTTCAAAAGGATTCCACCAATGCAAGCTTCTCAATGTGGCCGATTTGGGTTGTTCTGCTGTTCCAAACACATTCTCTGTGCTTCAAACAGTAAAAGAGACCGTTGAAAAGAAATGCATGGAATCGAATTGCCAAACTCTGGAAAGTCAGTTTTACTTGAATGATCTTCCTGGTAATGACTTTAATTCTCTGTTTAAGGGATTGTCTGGATTCTGTGACCAAACACAGGGTGCGTCATGCTTTGCGGTGGGAGTTCCTGGTTCTTTCCATGGCCACCTTACACTTTGTTCATTCCTCTTACAGTGCCCACTAGCTTTCCCAGGTATATAAACCCACCATTAGGTTAAATTTAATGTTTCATAAGTTTTAAACAGCAGGTTGGTCCTAGTATATATATCTATAGGCTATATAATATCTACTTTATTAATGTATTTGAATGGAAAATGGAGAATGTGAATGACAAGGTACCCAAAGGACTCACAAGCAATGAAGGCAAGCCATTAAACAGGGGGAAGATGCACATATCCACCACAAGTCCTCCGGTCGTAAAAGAAGATTACTTTAGTCAGTTTCAACAAGATTTCACCCTGTTTCTCAAGTCTCGCTCCGAGGAGATGGTTCCTGATGGTTGTATGTGTTGGAATATATATATATATATATATATCTAAATAATAAAAATTATTTTATGGTCCTATGTAGTACTTTTTTAAAATAGGATTGTAACAATAATATATATATATATATATATAAAAAGATATGGGTTTCCAAACTGGGGAGGCTGAATATATATATATAACAATAATATAATCAAATATATATAATATACATATAATATATAATATATATATAAAAAGATATGGGTTTTGATTTTTTGATTTTCTTTTATATCATTTTGTTTTAACTTTTTTTTTTACCAGATATTTTAGATTTATGCTTCTTTTTAATTAGGTTTAATTTTAGTTTTCTTCCAATGTCTACAATTTGACTTAGAATATGCCTAATATTAATATTACTGATGCAAATATGAATGGTGGAAATGGTAATTGAAAAAGAATAGTGATCGTATCAAAAAATAGTATTTTGCATGAAATGTATCATTAGAGCAAAATTGCTAAAATGTAGCATTTTAACATTGTAACACTTGTTAAAATATAAATTTGACATGAGAAAATAATTTTTAGTATTGAAGATGGTGTAACAGGCTAGCCAAAAATTGTGCATAACTATTGTAGGCATTGTTATGCACATAGCCCGTCTTACAATGGATATTGGCTGACTGTGCACGTAAAGATTGCTGCTATACATTTGCATTTGGACTGTATGGTAACAGAAGGTTTGACAATCTATTTATTAGACCCACAGAAAGAGCAAAAAGGGAGAGAGAAAAAACAAAAGAAAAAGCGGGGGCCACAATTTTTATAACAAAAGAAATGGCATTCATCTCCGAGGATTAAAAATGCATATAATCGATAAGTAATGCTCCTAAGTTTTAAGAGAGGTTTCTCTCATGAAAAAAACGTGATGAGCTTTTTATTATTATTATTATTTTATTATATTTAAATGCATTAATTTTAGATTGATGAAATAATTAATTTAACATTTAATACATTTCAAAAGATTAATTCATTCAATAATTAAATAAGAAGAACTCAAGCTTCTTGGAGACTATTGAGAGTATTAGTCATTTACTGCACTTGAGATGAGAGGATCTGATCCCCACTTAGACAGGACCTCCATAATGGTTTCCACATTTAGTTGGTGATTGCGAAAGGGTGTCGCATGATTGTGTGTAGACGAACGCAAACCACGTCTTTTGGACCCACAAAACTCGAAAGCAACTGTCTTTAAAAATTCCTCACCACCACATCTTGAAAGTGAAGCAACACCAACTAGTTACTAGTGTCTTTAAAAATCTGCTAAGCAATGAAAACTAGGTATGCTCTAAACAACACCATGGACGTGAAGGAAGCACTTTACATGAACAGAGGAGAAGGAGAAAGTAGTTATGCTCAGAACTCCAAATTCACAGTACATTTTTGCAGCCTCTACACTATTTTATTTATTTTTTTATTTGTTCAATTTTCCATTCAACAGTGAAGCTTTAGCCGGATTAACATAACCAAAATTGCTCTGTGCAGCAAAGAGTGGTTTCCATAACCAAACCAATATTAGAAAATTCAGTTCAATCTCTGTTTTCAAAAGGATTTCACCTATGCAAGCTTCTCAATGTGGCCGATTTGGGTTGCTCTGCTGGTCCAAACACATTCTCTGTGATTCAAACAGTAAAAGAGACTGTGGAAAAGAAATGCAAGGAATCGAATTGCCAAACTCCGGAAATTCAGTTTTACTTGAACGATCTTCCTGGTAATGACTTCAATTCTCTTTTTAAGGGATTGTCTGGATTCTGTGACCAAACACAGGGTGCGTCATGCTTTGCGGTGGGAGTTCCTGGTTCTTTCCATGGCCGGCTTTTTCCTTTGAACACCTTACACTTTGTTCATTCCTCTTACAGTGCCCACTGGCTTTCCCAGGTATATAAACACACCATTAGGTTAAATTTAATGTTTCATAAGTTTTAAACAGCAGGTTGGTCCTAGTATATCTATACATACACATATCTATACTTTGAGTTTGAATTCTATACAAGAATGGATTTTGGAATTTTTTTTTCCCAAAATCCCATTAATCCTATTTCCAAGAAAATGCGTGAGAATATATTTTCCCCAAAAAAAAAATAATAATAATGGAATTGATAGTTTAGTGATAGTTCCAATAGGAACAACTGTAGATCACTCTATTGGCAATTCTCTGTCTCATGACCTTGTATTTAATCATTTTGATGTGAAAAAAAAAAGGGAATCTGTTCTGCTATGGGATTGAGAACTCAGTTGCCGTTAATTATCCCAAAAAAAGAGAAATTAGTTGCAGTTTATGGAATTTGATTTAAAAATCAAGAAAAATGGAGATATGTGGATGATTTTGATTTATATATCATTCATAGCCTACTAGAATACTACGAAATTCCAAGAATGAAGTTAGCCGAGTGAACTAAAAACCTATAAAAACAAGAAAAGTTAGATGAGCAAGGTAGCACCTATATAGTATCTACTTTATTAATGTAGTTGAATGGAAATTGGTGAATGACAAGGTACCCAAAGGACTCACAAGCAATGAAGGCATGCCATTAAACAGGGGGAAGATGTACATATCCACGACAAGTCCTCCGGTCGTGAGAGAAGCTTACCTTACTCAGTTTCAACAAGATTTCAGCTCGTTTCTCAAGTCCCGCTCCGAGGAGATGGTTCCTGATGGTTGTATGGTCTTGATACTTCAAGGTCGGCAATCTGCAGATCCCTCGAGTAGGGAAAGCTGCTGGAAATGGGAGCTCTTAGCTGATGCCATTGCGGAAATGGTTTCACAGGTAAAATTCCCACTCTCTTCCTTTGTGGAGTTTGTGATCACTTTTATATTTATTCTCACTCTTTTTAATTTCCTCTCAACAGGGATTGGTTGATGAAGAGAAATTAGACTCCTTCAACGTACCGTACTATTCGCCATTACTAGAGGAGGTGCAAGATATAGTGGAGAAGGAGGGATCATTTGCAATCGAGCGTTTAGAGAAGTTTGCACTTGAAGTTGGTGAGAAGCAAGAAAAAGATGCATGGAGTAAGGGAGAAAAGGTTGCCAAGGCTATCAGGTCCTTCACAGAATCATTGATCTCATACCACTTCGGAGAGGAAATAGTTGAAAATTTGTTTCACAAGTTTACTCATATAGTAGTTGAGGACTTGGCCAAAGAATCAATGCACACTACAAGCATTGTTGTTGTGCTTAGCAGGATCGTTGGGTAGCCTATTCTCAAAGTTTAAGACCTTGCAAATTCTATGCAATGCTATTTGAAATTTAAAATCCCTAGCGTATAAATTACAATCTTATGCATTAGTTTTGTATTGCCAAAATAATAGTATTAAATACACTCTTAAAATAGTAAAGGTGTCAAATGGAAAAATAAAAATAAAAAAAATTTACGAATGCATCTGTAATTTTATGTCACTCAGTGTCTTCAACCAATTACCTCTTTATCACATAAATAAAAATACATTTACTTTATTACCATATCATCAATTTTCCACAAGCATTAAAGTATGTTTCCTAAAGAAGCACGGTTTTGTCAAGCCCCTTGGCATTAACGGTTAATTTAGGACCAAACTACTTCTCAAAATTTATTATTTTAAGGGTTCATTTGTTTTTCAAATCATTTTATAATTTCAGAAAAAAGATATTGCCGGATAAGTGTTCTAATCACAAGTTCTCATACATGGAAAGTTCGTACTTGCATTTCAAAAAGGAAAAGGAGAGAAAAAAAAGTGTTTTAGTTGGACTTGGCTAGACCATTAAGTAGTTGAAATTTCAATTCCTACTTAAGTCATATAATACTTTTAACTCTCACGATTGACACAAACTCTTATTCCTGATTTCATTATGTGTGATATGTATATTGGGGTGTGAGTTTTTTCTACCAAGGTAAAAGTAAAATAAAATTTAAAAGCAAATAATAATAATAATAATAATAATAATAATAAATAGATAAAATTTTTACAAGTGAGGACTTGGTGAGGCCTAGGAGGGCTGAACTGGGCAATGAAGCCCAAACAGAACAAAAGATGTTAGGGAACCAAAAATACAACTAAACCATCGGCTCAATCGAGACCCATTCGTTAGCCCATATGTTCTAACAGTTATTCACTTTTGTTCTCAAGTTTTTTTGTTTTATTTTGTTTTTGATTTTTTTTTTTCCTGTCGCGCTAACACTTACGCCTAGCTCTTATGTCGTATTATTTTTGAATAATAATTTAAGCTGTCAAATTTGGTCCCTAACTTATTACTCATTATTGTGTAAAAGGAAAAAAAAAAAAAAAAAAAAAAAACTTACCACTCATTATTTTTTTCATTGTGTAAGATTTAATAATACTAGTAATAATAGTGGTGGTAATAATAATAATATTATTAATTTTATTATTTAAATAATAACGAAAATAAATTGTATAATTTCATAATTCAGGAATTTTTTTGCATTTTTGTTGAAATATAATAATCATTCAAAAAGATAACTTTGGCATTTTTTGAATACATTACACAAAAGATGAGAGGTTGATTTGCAACCTAGAATTGTACAGGAGGTTACTTTTCATTTTTGTGATCGTACTTATTTTATTTTATTTTATTTTATTTTATTTTATTTTTACTTTTGCCTAATACTACGTATTACACATACTCTTAAAACAGTGCAGGTATCAATATCGTGGAGAGTGGCGCCAAAAGTGACAAGATCCATGCATTGTATGGATGTGGCTTTTTGTATGTAGGGTACACCGTTGTCTATTTAAAATGTACTGAACCATTGAGTGGCACTTGACAGGGTCTGATTGGGACAAAAGGCGCACATCTTTGAGTGTGGACCCACAAAAGTCAAAATAGTGGGTGACAACAACGACATTTTGAAAGTGAAACAAACAACTAATTACTGTCTCATTTTAATTGTGGATTTAAAAAGATGTGAATCACAATTCTATTTCACTTTAATTGTGGATTTCGGATTATGAGTCATATTTTTTTAAGGCAACAAATTAAAGTGGAACGAAAATAATATAAAAATATAAAAACCATGAGTAGTAAACTGAATAGCAAGAACAGACGATGGACGTGAAGGAAGCACTTTACATGAAGAGAGGAAGAGGAGAAAATAGCTATGCTCAAAACTCCATATTACCGGTACATTTTTGCAACCTCTACACACTAATTATTTATTTATTTGTTCAATTTTCCATTCAAAAGTGAAGGTTTTGCCCAATTAACATAACCAAAAATTGCTATGTGCAGCAAAAAGTGGCTTCCATAACCAAACCCGTATTAGAAAATTCTGTTCAATCTCTGTTTTCGAAAGGATTTCATCTACACAAGCTTCTCAATGTGGCCGATTTGGGTTGTTCTACTGGTCCAAACACGTTCTCTGTGATTGAGACAGTAAAAGGGACTGTGGAAAAGAAATGCAAGGAATTGAATTGCCAAACGCCGGAACTTCAGTTTTACTTGAATGATCTTCCTGGTAATGACTTTAATTCTCTGTTTAAGGGTTTGTTTAGATTCTGTGACCAAACACAGGGTGCTTCATGCTATGCGATGGGAGTTCCTGGTTCTTTCCATGGCCGGCTTTTTCCTCAGAACACCTTACATTTTGTTCATTCATGTTACAGTGTCCACTGGCTTTCTCAGGTATGCACACACACACCCAATTATGTTTAAATTAAATGTTCCATAATTTTAAAAAGCAAGTTGATCCCAATATATCTACACATATATGTAGTTTAGGAGTTTGAATTCTCAATTGTTTATCCTTCCATAAAAAAATATACTACTCCAAGAGTCCAAAACAATATGAGTGAATCATGCCCTCTTGATCAAGTAATTAATTAGCTGCTTGAGTACAGATAGACATCTCATTCAATAAATTTAGCATAGATTAAGAATTCTCTTGTTTCCAGAAACCCCTTCAACATTGTTGCCCAACAAATGTGTAGGCTGAGAATACTTTTCCCCAAAAGGAAGAGGAAAATGATTCTTAGGGCGATCAGTGATTTGCTAGACTGACAACAAAGTGTGTAAAAAGCAAATGAGAAGGAAAGAAAACAATTAACATGCCATTTGGTATTCTATTATCAGTACAACCTCAATATGAACATTGAACAAGATGTAATAAGCCTAAACAAAGTTCTTGAATGGAAACTGGTGAATGACAAGGTACCCAAAGGACTCACAAGCGATGAAGGCTTGCCATTAAACAGGGGAAAGATGTACATATCCACGACAAGTCCTCCGGTCGTAAGAGAAGCTTACCTAACTCAGTTTCAACAAGATTTCACCCTGTTTCTCAAGTCCCGCTACGAGGAGATGGTTCCTGATGGTTGTATGGTCTTGATACTTCACGGTCGACAATCTGCAGATCCCTTGGATAAGGAGAGCTGCTGGCATTGGGAGCTCTTAGCTGAGGCCATTGCCGAATTGGTTTCACAGGTAAAATTGCCAAATTCTCACCTTCTTTGCGGATTGAAACTGAAACGCCATTGCAACACATCTTAAACCATCCAATTATTATTATTATTATTATTATTATTTTTTCTTCTCTCTCCAACAGGGAATGGTGGGTGAAGAGAAATTAGACTCCTTCAATGTACCGCACTATACATCATCACTAGAGGAGCTGCAAGATATAGTGGAGAAGGAAGGATCATTTGCAATTGAGCGATTAGAGAAGTTTGCACTCGAAGTTGGGGAGCAGCAAGAAAAAGATGCATGGAGTAAGGGGGAAAAGGTGGCCAAGGATATCAGGTGCTTCACAGAATCACTGATTTCGTACCACTTCGGAGAGGAAATAGTTGAGAAAGTGTTTGACAAATTAACTCATATGGTAGTTGAGGAGTTGGCCAAACAAACATTGCACGCTACATGCATCGTCCTCGTGCTTAGCAGGATCCTGGGATAACTTCGTGTTCTAAATTGAACTCTGGAATAAAATTTAGAACTCAGAGAAATTGATGGACAGAGAGTTTAAATTTGTTGCAGTTTGAGCTGAATGCAAGGTTGTGATGCTCTACTTCAATGGATAAATGAATCCAATAAACTCTTCCACAATATCTAGTAATGGTTTTTTTTTTTTTTTTAAATTATAATTGAAAATCTCTATATCTGCATTCCAATATTGTAGCTGGACGAAATAAAGTTGTGTAAGAATATATATATATATATATATATATATTTGAAATAATTGTGTAGTCTGAGACGGTTTCAAAGGATAATTGTGTAAATTTATTTTTAGAAAAAAAGAAGTGGAGTGTAAAAGTAGAGGAATTAGATGCTAATAGCATTTCCTGTATATATATCAATGGTTTTCTATTATTGTAGACTCATTATTTCATTATTATTATTATTATTTTTATGATATCCATGGCTTATATTTAGGATTTTTGTTATAAATTACTTTGAATTTGTTTAAGACTAAATTAAAAAAATCTATATAGCTATTGAGCAATGCTCTAAGTAACACAATCCATCTAAAAAAGTGCTGCTTTTACGGTGCCAGCTCCCACTCCACACATGCTCTCACTCCCACTCCCACTTTTATTATGTATGACTTAAATTTTGCCCTTTTTATTCTTGAATATACCCTCGATTCCGCTTTATGCAACAGCGGAGCCGGTGCATGTCCCCCGCCCACTATATATATTGTATTTTTTATAAAAAAATTTACATAAATATATGGTTTTTTTTATTATTAATTTTTTAATATAATGCTGCCACCCCTTCTAAAATTATTAGTTTCTAAAATTATTTCTTAATTTTTTAGTAGTACCTTTTTTTTTTCTTTTTTTTTTTCTTTAAAAAAATTAAAATTTTCATGTTAAATTGATGTCTATTTATTTATTTTTTTTTCCTTTTGTTATTTTTCAATTTTTTTCCTTCCAGTTCTTCTTTATATATATATATATATATATATATATATATAACTCTGTGCCCCTCAACTGAAATCCTCGCACTTGGTTTTATGTAACTTAGGTAATGCTGTGAAGAGAAAGGTGATAATAAGTAATTTCAATCTCATAATTACTGAAATCTTTGTTAATATCGGATTCAACTATTCTCAAAATACATTTGTATATTGTATTTTATAATACAATTAAATTATGGATGTAACAATAAATAATAATCCAGAATTTGTGCACGCCATTAAATGAAATCAATGATGTAAAAATAGTATAAATTTGTTTTATCATCATCGATAGTGTTGTAGTGTTTTACGAGTATGTTTTTATTTCAGTATAATACATTCATTACATCACGTAAGTATTGTATCTTCCGTATAATAATATATTGCACAAGTGTTTGCATTGTATTGGTGACTAAAACAAGGAAATCTTTCGAAATAGATTTGGTGTATTGGGACAGGGTGTGTCTCACGATTCTGTCGTGGCAAAAGGCACACCACATCTTTGAACTCACAAAAGTCAAGATAGTGACCCAAATTCTTCACCACCACATCTTAAACAAACTTTTTTGTCACGTCAAAAAAAAAAAAAAAAAAAAAAAAAAATTGTTTACAAAACTGCACAACAATGACAACTATAAGCACCCAACTTAAACAAGAAGATAATTTCAAAAAAAAAAAAAAAAAAACTTTAACAAGAAGACCATGGATGTGAAGGAAGCACTTTACATGAGTAGAGGAGAAGGAGAAAACAGCTATGCTAAAAACTCCAAATTCACGGTATACACTTTATTTATTTATTTGTTCAATTTTCCATTCAAAATTGAAGTTTTAGCCCAATTAACATGACCAAAATTGTTCTGTGCAGCAAAAAGTGGCTTCCATAACCAAACCCATAATAGAAAATTCAGTTCACACTCTGTTTTCAAAAGGATTCCACCTAAGCAAGCTTCTCAATGCGGCCGATTTGGGTTGTTCTGCTGGTCCAACCACATTCTCTGTGATGAAAACAGTAAAAGAGACGGTGGAAAAGGAATGCAAGGAATTGAATTGCCAAACACCGGAACTTCAGTTTTACTTGAATGATCTTCCTGGTAATGACTTCAATTCTCTGTTTAAGGGATTGTCTATATTCTGTGACCAAACACAGGGTGCGTCTTTCTACGCGGTGGGAGTTCCTGGTTCTTTCCATGGCCGGCTTTTCCCTCGGAACGCCTTACATTTTGCTCATTCCTCTTACAGTGCCCACTGGCTTTCTCAGGTACATACACACTCAACCAATTATGTTAAATTCAATGTTCCATAAGTAGTTGGTCCTAAATTCCTAATATATCTATACATATTTTATATGTGTTTGTGAATTCAATGTTCCATAATTAGTTGGTACTATAGCAACCACAGTAGATCACTCTAATTACCAATTCTGTGTGTGGCCTTGTATTAAACCTTTTTGATGTACAATTCCAAGAGAGAGAAAAAAAGGATCCATTTTGCCGTGGGATTGAGAAATTGGATGCAGTTTATGGAATTTCATTCAAAAATCAAGAAAATGGAGAAATGTTGATGATTTTGATTCATTGTACATCATTCATAGCATAATAGAGTACCAAATGAGAAGGAAAGAAAATAAATTTAACATGCCATATCTGTATTATTATTATTATTATTATTTTTTTTTTTTCCAGGACAGCCTGAATATGAGAACAAAATAGGAAAAGTAATTAGATGATTTGTACATAGTATCTACTTCATTAATGTTATAAGCCAAAACTAATCACTTCAATGGAAACTGGTGAATGACAAGGTACCCAAAGGACTCACTAGCACTGAAGGATTGCCATTAAACAAGGGTAAGATTTACATATCCACGACAAGTCCTCCGGTTGTAAGAGAAGCTTACCGAACTCAGTTTCAAGAAGATTTCAGCATGTTTCTCAAGTCTCGCTCCGAGGAGATGGTTCCAGATGGTTGTATGGTCTTGATACTTCATGGTCGACAATCTGCAGATCCCTTGGATAAGGAGAGCTGCTGGGTATGGGAGCTCTTAGCTGAGGCCATTGCCGATATGATTTCACAGGTACAGTTGCCAAGTTCTCACTTTCTTTGTGGATTGGGACTGAAAAGCCATCACAACACATCTTACACCATTAAGTTTTGTGTTTTAAATTTCAATATATGTATCTTTCCTACTTGAGGCTTGGGCTTCATGCACATTATATATTTCCTCATTCATTTTCCTACCAATTAGTCCTAATAGCTCTACCTTTCTAAGTGCATAAATATTCCAGACCGAATATTCTTTATCCTATTTGTGGGTTTTATCTATTTGACGTTATGGATGTGCTTTAGAACCCATTCACTATATCAAAGGAATAGAAACCCTATCTAAGAATCAGTTTCCTTTAATTAATGAGAGATAAAATACACAAAAACGGCAAATTTTAATTCCCTAACCTACAAATATTTTGCACTTGGTGCAACTCAACATCCTTGTCCTCTCTACTGCCTCAGTAATTAATCTGCAAAACTATTGATCACCATCACAACTCCACACTTGAAATATAAGTTTCCCTACACGCTAATTGTCCAATAGTGTTTAGTGGTCACTTTATATTTTCTCTACCTCTTTGTTCTTCTTCTTCTAATTTTTTTTTTCTGCTCCCACAGGGATTGGTTGTTGAAGAGAAATTAGACTCCTTCAATGTACCCTACTATACACCATCACTAGAGGAGGTGCAACATATAGTGGAGGAGGAGGGATCATTTGCAATTGAGCGTTTAGAGACGTTTGCACTTGAATTTTTGTTGGACAAGGAAGAAAAAGAGACAAAGGGGGAGAAGCTAGCGAAGGGTATCAGGTCCTACACAGAATCATTGATCTTATACCACTTCGGAGAAGAAATACTAGAGAAATTGTTTCAAAAATTGACTCATATAGTAGTTGAGGACTTGGCCAAAGAATCAATGAACGGTACAAGCATTATTGTTGTGCTTAGCAGAATCCTGGGATAGTGTTTCCACTAAATTGGGATACTTAGAATGTGCAGGCGTGCCAGAATTTCGAAAGATTCAGAGAGGTCAAATGAAAAGGAAATTTCTTTTGGAACGATCAAAGCGATTATAAGGTTTCGGATTTGCCTTCGATGAAAGGACTTTTAATTAAAACTACAATGCTATCTAATGAATTGAAATGCAATACTGAAAGTAAGTGCATGAATGTAAAGGAATTGAAAAGACTTATATTGAAATTGCTTGAATTGAAATACGAAATATTGAATGTTGATTGATGTCGTTGAGAGAGCCTCCAATATAACCTTAAGCCAACTATTTACAAGAAGGACCCATGTCCTTTTTAGAAACTGTCCACTTCTTTCTTGCAAGACACTTGTCTTATGCTCAGCTGCCGAATTCCAACTTCCAAACCCATGATCTATGAGTTTCTACCACTGCTACCATGTGTCTCACGTTCTTCAAACTATTCATCTGAATATGTATATATATCACGTAATTTAACAGCTTCAGTCTAGTTCCATTTTGAAATGAATTCTGTACAACACACGTTCTCCTAATCCCTAATTTTTAGGAACTACCTTCCTTAGCCGTGTATTGATTTTATACTCCTTAGAGGTAGAGGGACTTCTAAGCTGAAGTGACAATTTATAGAAGTTTGGCCCACGTCCTCCTTGTTTTCGGGAAATCATTCAGTCCACAACTTTATTGCCAACTGTTGTTATCCTGCCATACCCACCTTTCTTGTTCTGCTGGATGCTTCCACCGTGTTGGAATCTTTTTCCTTTTCAAATTTGACATGTGTTAATTCAGCTTTAGATCATGATTTAATCCACTTGTCCTCTTTTCAATACATCATGTTATCATTGAAGTGGCTGACCATTGGCCTATCACTTTTATGTACCAACAAAAAAGGAATATTTTGCACTTATATTTTGCACTTGGTGCAACTCAACATCCTTGTCCTCTCTACTGCCTCAGTAATTAATCTGCAAAACTATTGACCACCATCACAACTCCACACTCGAAACTATTAATCTGCAAAATTTTAATTCCCTAACCTACAAATATTTTGCACTTGGTGCAACTCAACATCCTTGTCCTCTCTACTATCTCAGTAATTAATCTGCAAAACTATTGACCACCATCACAACTCCACACTTGAAATATAAATTTCCCTACACTCTAATTGTCCAATAGTGTTTAGTGGTCACTTTATATTTTCTCTACCTCTTTGTTCTTCTTCTTCTAATTTTTTTTTTTCTGCTCCCACAGGGATTGGTTGTTGAAGAGAAATTAGACTCTTTCAATGTACCCTACTATACACCATCACTAGAGGAGGTGCATCATATAGTGGAGGAGTAGGGATCATTTGCAATTGAGCGATTAGAGACGTTTGCACTTGAATTTTTGTTGGACAAGGAAGAAAAAGAGACAAAGGGGGAGAAGCTAGCGAAGGGTATCAGGTCCTACACAGAATCATTGATCTTATACCACTTCGGAGAAGAAATACTAAAGAAATTGTTTCAAAAATTGACTCATACAGTAGTTGATGACTTGGCCAAAGAATCAGTGAACGGTACAAGCATTATTGTTGTGCTTAGCAGAATCCTGGGATAGTGTTTCCACTAAATTGGGATACTTGGAATGTGCAAGCATGCCAGAATTTCGAAAGATTCAGAGAGGTCGAATGAAAAGGAAATTCCTTTTGGAACGATCAAGCGATTGTAAAGTTTTGGATTTGCCTTCGATGAAAGGACTTTTAATTAAAACTACAATGCTATCTAATGAATTGAAATGCAATACTGAAAGTAAGTGAATGAATGTAAAGGAATTGAAAAGACTTATATTGAAATTGCTTGAATTGAAATACGAAGTATTGAATGTTGATTGATGTCGTTGAGAGAGTCTGCAATATAACCCTAAGCCAACATTTACAAGAAGGACCTATGTCCTTTTTAGAAACTGTCCACTTCTTTCTTACAAGACACTTGTGATACCCCCAGATTTTCGGATGCGGGTTGGCCAGGCCCACGCCCGATTACCCGAGGATATCTAACCAATTAGCAATTAACAAACACAGAATACAATTAAGATAGCAGGAATGAATAAAAATTTACTGAAAAGAAATTAAACTAAAAGTCCTTTATTTAAAAAAACCCTCAGAATAAAATTTTATAAATAAATAATTAGTCTGATACATCCAACTTCTCCAATTTTAATACAACTCGGAAATCCATCTCTAATGGAACCTTAATAATAATCCAAACTGAAATGAAAGCTACTTAAAGAACATCTAGAGTAAACCATGGAGAAAAGTCCTATGTCGTCGGAAGAGTGAGTAGTAGTCTCTGCTCAGCACGATCAAGTCCAAGTCTGGAACTGATAAGTACATGAAAAATAGAGGTGGGTCAGGCCCACGAACAAGTTCTAACCTACTACAATCCAAGCAGAGACTCGATACGCATATACATTCTAACCAACTCAACAATAACTAAATAGTCCATAGATATATATATATATATATATATATATATATATATATATATATATATATATATTCACACTACAGGACTCTCACTAGACTACAGGCCCGTCTCAACTTGACTAGTAGGCACCATGCAAAACACACCTGAGGTGGGCATGACTACCTAGATCTAGCAGGGTACACATCTAACCATCACAGCCAGCTATACATCCTACTGCATATACGCTCCCTAACCGTCGACTCTGAGACTCAAGCTCATATCGCGGTACCATAACATAAATATATAAAGTCCGTTCCAAGTGTGTCATTAAAAAAGTTTGTTGACCTGACACCTAGTTATAAGTAGGACTTAACTTTTGTAGTTAATCTATCTTATTTCAATATAGGCAAGACTTAGTGTTTGAACTAATCCATCCCCAATATAGGTAGGTTCCAGTCTTTTGAACTGAGTCATCCCTAGTATACCACCGTCCCATACCGATGCATAGACATCCATATAAGTAAGACTTAACTTTTTATAGTTAATCCAACTCATTCCAAAATAGGTAGGATGTAGTGTTTTACCAATCCTTCCCTATTATGCCACCGTCCAATACCGGTGCATACAATCCATCAATCCAGTAGATGGTAATACAAATATATATATGTAAATACCAACTAATCCATAATAAAATAACAAGAGCCCATCACCTGTATAACCAGTATATGTGTATAACATGTTTGTTCTGTTCTACCAATACATAATTCTCTAATAAGATTAAAACACAGAGAACAGGTATAATCCATTATGTAATTCACTATGAGCATAATAATAATATTATCATAATTAACATGCTCATTTTAAACCATTCCAAGATATTCAGTAAGTTTATAAGACACAATACTGTATATTTAGCAACTAGGTTCCCATTAAACATAACAGAGTAACTAAGTTCCAGTAATTGATTATACATGTCATACATATAAATATCAATTTATTTCCCAAAAAAGCACAACAGAATATACCAATTCACATGTTTCCTTTTATACCAAACCAACACTAACTGAAACAAGTTAAATTCTGTATGTCAGTTAATCCGTAGCTAGCAGTAATTAAAGCTTAAGCATACTTGTTCCTACCCCTGGTCCATGATCAACATGGTGTAACCATCCATAATAATCTGCTAAATTAGATCATAGGCAATTAAACCTCTACATCTCCAAAAACTGTAACCAGATTTGCATCTAACAATTTATGCATTGTTTTACTATAAACACCAGTGTTTTAATCCATGTTAACCAACCCTTGGAAACTTTAATATGGCATTAGAACATACTGAAAACCCCAATTATACCTTCTAACATGATCTGAAATCTCTAAAATCCAACCCTCGTAGCCCAAACGGTCGCCGAAACATCAAAAACTGGGAAAACCTTAAAGGAGCCGGCTCTAAACAAGTTGGAGCCGCCTCTAAACAAGATGGAATAGGCTCTAACTCACTTGGAGCCGCCTCCAAAGAAGTTTGAGCCGGCTCCAAAATATTTTGGAGCCGCCTCCAACTTCCTCCTCTCTTCTCTGCTTCTTCCCTTCAACTACGTCTTCTCCGGTGACGTCTAGTTTGATCAGTCCTTAACTCCAATGATTTCTACTGATTAAAATTAAGTTTTAATGCCCCAGATATTGTAAAAACCGTTAATCCTAGATCCACTCTAATTAGAACAAAGTTCTACAAGAAAGAATTTAAGATAAACAAAAACGAACATTAAACTATATACCGTTACCGACGAACCTAAACATGCAAACTAGATTAATATCTTCCAGTATTACAAGCTAATTTAACTCTGTTTATATCCATTCACATGCATTATACATCCAGTTCTGTGAATTAGTTTATGAGTTAAACACGAAAGATCATAAAACAAGTAGTATACTCATGGCTATCTTTAGTGAAAAATACAAAGACATATAATCCAGTTTAAGTTCGATTCTTATTTAATCCTGGAGTTGAATTAGACATGCAAAGAACACAAGTCCATGAGATAGAGTTAGGATTAGAACCTGCCTTACACCGACGTCTTCCTAAATTCCCCGGTGAACACTCTGTTTGCCCTTTCCAGTTTCCCTCTGCCTCCACCAACGTCCACCAACATGAATAGGGTTCTAAAACCCTAGGCAGAACTTTAATCATATATTTATAGGCTTAAATAATCCTAGGTTCAATTAAACCCTAACTGACTTACCCGGCCCATAGACCAACCTATGACCTAAACATATCGGCTACATAAGTGAGATGTATTAAATAGCTAAACCCTAACCTAATTTAATAACCTAATCTTGCAACAATGAAATTTAAATAGAATACTACAATTAACAATTTAAATAGCACACAATAATTAAACAATTTAAATAAGACCAATAAGTCACACAAAATAAGTATATCTGTTACATTCAAATATCAATTAATAAATGCAAATCAATAATTATTTAATTTAAATGAACACATCAACACATAGCCACGTAAGCACCCAGAAATAATAAAAGAAATAATCAAAAAAAAAAAATTAAATAGTAAAATTCCAATTATATCCCTTTTTAAAACTAGGGGTATTACATTCTTTCCCCCTAACAAACGGAATTCAGTCCTCGGAATTCATGAAACTCTAAATTATTTATGTTAAAATTCATTTCCATTCCATTGTGGATGCTGCCGCCATGCAGGAGCTCCACTGAATTCCAAATCCTCCTAGGAAACGTATGAGTTCCATATCAATGAAACATAAAAGTTATGCAATACGTAAGTTGTATGGAGCAACTTCCTATCC